TCCAACAAAACTGTTCTTTCTATGTAGGAATAATCGCTACATTTCCCTACAATTTTATTATTATAATTTTGTTGCAAATGGATTTTTTTTTTTAATGATTCAATTATTCAATAATTCCATTATAATTGAAATCAGTATTAAAAGCGGTCATTTATAAATATACGATTGCCAAATGAAACGTTCTGTCAAAATATTTACTTCGATTGAGGTTCCATGAAAAATTTGATGAGAAAATAATATTATTTCACCCAGCTGAGGATTATATATTTAATCTTTTCTTTTACACGCGTTTGAAATCTGTGCGCCAGTCGACGGCAGGCAATGGCGGCCTTATCGGCGACGGTCGATACGAGGACGAATCTAGGGACTCTACCACGCCCAATAGCAGCGGTCCGCGGCGCCGCGAGCCGGCAAAGGCAGACGCGCTGTGTGTGTGTCCTTCTCCGCATCGTTACGCAAAGGAGCGCGCCGGCTCCCGCTACCCCCACCACTTAACCTCTTATCCGAACTGCCTCGCGCCTCGCCGCCGTGCGGCAGTGGCACGCCAGTCAGTCGGTTTTTGTTCATCGTGTGGCGTGGTGTGCGGTGATTTCGCGCCACAAAAGAGAGAGAAAGAGAGAACGACTGAGCGGAGTTTTATCCGCGATCGGACACACTCGTTGACGGAACCCTTTGTCGCGGACGTACGTACGTTTGTTTATTTTATTTCGCGATAGCATTCGGTGCCGCATACTCGGGCGTGCGCTCTGATAAGAAAAAAGGAAGGAAGGAAGGAAGGAAGGAAGACACAGGCACATTTCTCACTCTCTATCTTCCTCTATCGAAGAAAGGGGAGGAGGAAGAAGCGTGCCTCGTGGGCCCGTGCGGCGGATCGTGGTCGCAAGACCGGAGGCGCACGGCACGGTCGGCCATTGTGCTTTCTTCGTATCGCCGATACGACCGACAGCGCGGTGCTCCGCTGTCTGTCAGCCTGTGTGCTCAGTGTCGGCTTATACCGGGTGAACCTGCGAGAGAGACGTGCTTGTGCGCCGCAGTTCGCCGGCTACCACTGTCGGAGCAACATCGCCGCCGTTATCATCGTCAATATCATCATCGTCCGCGGTTAGCTCGGCATCAGAGGTAAGCGAAGGTAGACAAAGACGAGAAAAAAAGTGAGTCGTTTACGCCCGGCCGTCGCGTTTCTCGTGGAGCAGAAAACGGAACGGAGCGCGTCACGAGACTCTGTCGGTAATGCCGTCCCTTTTATTCCTTCTCTCCTCCCTTCGTTCCTCAACATCCTCGCCCATCTCTCTCCTCTCGAGGCGGATAACACGCGCTTCATTCTGGATTCTGATCGCCGGGTCACGTCCGCGTGTCCCGCTTTATCCCGAATCGTAAACTCCGTGGTCTCCTACCCTCGCGTGAGCCAGCGTGACAGATTTTCGTGCCGGCATTCAAATAATGAAGACAGGCGTCTGGAAAAGAGAGAACGGGCGGAGAAGGCGACGGGAGGGAGGTGAGGGGGGAGGGAGGGAGACGGATGAGAACGAGAATTCGTGTTTCGATCACGAGTGCTCCCGCGTTTCCCGCGATACACGCACGCACGCACGCACGCACGCAAGCACGAACGCACGCACGCACGCACGCACGGAGTATGGCCTCCCAAGTTCACGGCTGTCTCGGCGGCAGGTGCCTGTATCTCGGAGCCGCGAGAAACGGAGTATCGCGTGTCGACTCTCTGGACACTCCGGCGTCGGTGTTCGTCGCGATGCCAGGATTCGTGATCGTTATCCCGAAATCACACGTGTGAAAACTTGCGAGCGCACATATCTGTCGCTTGAATATTTCTCTTTTAACACTCGCCGCACACATCTCGTTATGGCCCGCGTAACGATGCTGCCTGTTACGATTTCTGTTATAGCAATAATATATCTGTTATAGCACGGCATCGTATGACTGCGAATGCGAACATTAAGCAACGATTCGATGTGTGCGAAACGATACGCTGAAATTGATATTTTATTATTATCGCATCCGCATGGGAGAATTTTTATGCGCAAAGCGTTTTAAAACGTTCGGCTGTTGATGCTTTTCTCTTTGATCGATTTAAAGCTTTTTCTCTTACTAAGAACATTGAGAAAAGTTTTCTATTTATCGTTGCATTATTTAATATATGTGTAATATATTAACAATTTTTAAATTTAGATTATACTGGAGTTCTTCTTAAATTCATTGAAAACGATTCTTTTATCGTCTATCTAAAATAAATTTTTATCTAAAACAATTTTATCTAAGACAAATGTTGTTTTTAATTCGTTGGATCCCTCGACATTCTAATCGAGAAAAAATCGACTATAGAATTTGTACAGAGAGAAAGAGAGAGAGACAGAGAGAGAGAGAGAGAGAGAGAGAGAGAGAGAGAGAGAG